GTCCAGAATGCATTTACATACATGAATATTTATAAAGCAATATTCACTTAACCTAAGTTTATATATTCTGAGTTTCCTATTACACACAACTGAGCCTGGAAGGTACAAGGCTGGGAGCATCTCTGGCCAGAGGAAGGTCCAGAATGACTGACTGCGCTGTAGGAAACTGTTCAGAATGGGGATCGGAGGTGGGGAACCAACAGCAAAGGTACAGCAAGTAACTACTTGGAGCTGAACAATGAGCCACATCAAACCCCACTTTAACCAGGAAATCTTCCTGTGACATATGTGGTCTTGCCTTTATAAATACCTCCTTTGGCCTGGTTGTTCTCATATCTATTTATGAGTAAATCCTTAATATTTTAAATCCTTTTTCTCTGCCTTTCAACCGTGCTACAGATCATGGCAACTAGTAGTAAGAAGTTGTGCTGCAATCTCAAAGGCACATAGTTCAAATCCCCCAATGCTCCATGGGAAAATTAAGAGAAATCTCTTCTTTGCGATTTACTGCCTCTAAAAACCTGCTGACATTCTTCGTGTCTTGATGAGGGTCATGTAAGGAAAGTTTTTGGGTTTGTGTTGGTTTGTGTTTGATTTGTGCTATGGGTTTTTCTTCCTCCACAAGTGGGTGTCAGCTGGCTGAACTTCTGCTTGCCCGTTTTAGCCAACAAGAACCCAAGGGCAGAGGGAATACTTGGTTTATCATAGTCAACAGCATTTGTTGGGTGAGTCTTTAAAATTCTGTAGGGCCCTCAGGCCAAATTTATTAACACTGGCATTAAGAGTCTTTTTAAGTGGTATAGCAGTTTGTCTATTTGCTGTAATGAATAACTTGGAGTTGCTGTGGTTGTTGTTGATGGCTTTCCAGTTGAGCACAACACTGTACCATGTTGGAGTTGCTGATTGCCTTTGAGTCGAGCACGACTCATAGCAACCTATGAACAAAAGGCCTGAAGCCCCTCTACAACTATCGACATTTATCAAAGTTCACAGAGTTCCTGGAGGCATGTTCCAAAGGCATGATAGTTACCCATCATGAACAGTGTTTGGAGGAGCTTCCAGACTGATTCAGGTTTGGAAGCAGGAGCAGCATCCACTTCCTACACCAGATTCCTCTGGAAACTCTATTAACTCTATCAACATAAAGAAATAACGTTATTTATAGAAAAAATTCAGGTCTTTTGTTTGTAGGGTCGCTATGAGTCACATTCGACCTGATGACACTTTACCACTGCTAAGTGAGACTACTGTTGTTATATTTTGGAGAAACATTCTTTTACTTTGTACATCACTCTTTGCCAGTTTGCTGTACTGAAGTAATCAGGGTTTGCTGTGACGCAGAACCTTGTGCCACTGAGGTGTCAAATGCCATCATGGTTTCCCAATGTGGACAGTGTTTAGTGGAGCTCCCAGTTGTAAAATAGGTTTGGAAGCAGGAGTGGCATCAACTTCCTAAACTACATGCCTCTAGAAACTCTATGAACTTGGAGAAATGATGATAGTTTCAAAAAGGTATTAGGTCTTTTGTTCATGGAGTCACTGAGTCATAATCGACTCAACGGCAGTCAACAACAGTAACAACAAAAACCTGCTGGAGGGTCGGCTATGAAATGGCTCTGACTTGAGTGCACACAAGAACAGAACACAACAGAAAGGTCTGGTCTGGATATAATATATTTGGGAGTCACTCAGACTGTTGCCTAGAAAATAAAATAGGAAATGTCACAGATTATCTCGCCCGGGGAGATTATCAATGCATGGATCACATGAGGAGTTCTGAAAAATCACTTGAGTAAAAACCCAGTTTAACTTGACTTTATCACACAATACCAAATCACTTGACCCTGAAAGGTTTGTTTCGCTTTCCACAATAATCAGTGTTGATTTACCCAGTAAGCAAGGCAAACACAGATTTATTTGTGCTTCCTGACTAATACATAGTGAAACGATTTCATGGGTTTGTTTTTTGTTTGGGTTTTGTTTTGTTTTTTAGCACATAAAAGATTCTTCTTCTACACATGGCTGACATCTATCTCTCTCTTAATTCCACAGTACTTTCCTACAGAAATCAAAGCCTCTTTCAAATGTACAAACCCTGAATGCAAGAGTATCCAGAAAACAAGATAAACATAGGAGCTTACTTCCCAGTTGGTAATGAACAGTTTCACGTGCCATTGTGGTGATAATGTGTAGGAAATGGTTCACTACAGATTCATAAGTAAGCACTAGTAAGTTTGAGCGCATTCTGATTATTGCATAAACATCTACATGTAGTGCATATTCAAACTAAATCATTTAGCTCTGCAGGTTGTGCATAATTCACTTCTCAGAGTTGCACTGCTAACCTAAAGGCAACATCCTTCTGGTGGTTCAAATCCGTGAGTGCTTCCAAGAAAGATTGTCATTCTCCTTCTGTGCCATTTACAGCCTTCAGAAAACCCAGTGAGGGTTCAGCTGTGAGTCAGTTCCAAAATGGACAGAAATGGGAGAAAGAGATATAGAAATCACTAAACCCCATAAAACTAGTGACTTGCAAAACATACTTTGATAAATGATAGTTATTTTTCAAGGAAGTGTACATTACTTGATCTATTATTTGTTGAAATATTTGTGTTTTATGATAAAAATATACCAATGTATTAAAATTTGGTAAATAAACTAGTATAAATAAAAAAATTTGAAAATATATCATTTAGTAGTGAAGTACTCTCACCACTAAATACATTATAATTCAAAGCGCTGCTCTCTAAATCTGGAGACGTGCTAGTCAGCGAACACTACTCACTCTCCAGAGAAGCGGTGTCTCAGTTTGAAGAGTACTGGGGACTTTGAGAATCTGATAAATTTCTAGGCTAGTTCCCAGGAAATACTTACATATTTTATCTATATGCTAAGCCCTAAACTCGAGGTGAAAAATTGCTACTCCATGGGACATTATCAATTTAAACGTAGTTTCTGATGTCCATAGTAACAGTGCTCTTGAAAATTAGGTACAAACCATGTGTTCATGGTTGAAAAGCTGTTACATGCTGTTGAGTCACTTGTGACTCATAGTGAGCCTATGTCCAGCAATTCTGCACCTTGCTCTATCCTGTGCCAACTTTATTGTATCTGACATACCCGTATGCATTACCCCAATAACAATCAATCCATCTCATTGAGGGTCTTCTTCTCTTGTGTTGTCCCTTCATCCTCCCTAGTATGATGTGCTTCTCCAAGAACTGGTCCCACTTTGCAACATGCCCAAAGTATGTCAGACAAAGTTTCAGAATCTTTGCCTCTAAGAAGCAGCCTGGTTTCACTCTCTCTAGGATGAACCTGTTTGTTCTCCTAGCAGTCCATGGTATATCCAATATTCTTCTCCAGCACCACAGCTCAAAGGCATCAATTCTCCTTTCATCTGTAGTCGCTGTCCTGCTCTCTGATGCATACATAGCAAGTAATTGTGAAGACTTTGACCTGGATCAGGAACACCTTAGTCTCCAGACTGGCATTGTTGTTCTTCAGTACTCTGGAGAGGTCTCTGACAGCAGACTTTCCCAATGCAATTCGTCTTTTAATTTCAAAAGTGTTAGTTGTGGAGCCAAGCAAACGAAAGGTGTTAACAATCTTAATCTCTTCACCATCTATCATGATGCTGCCAATTAGCCCAGTGGTGAGAATCTTTGTTTTCTTGATGTTGAGCTTCAATCCATACAGTCCCTGACTTTCTACAGCAAGTGCTTCAGGTCCTCCTCAGTTTCAGGAAGCAGGGCTGTGTAATCTGCATAATGCAGGTTGTTGTTAACATCACACTTATACTAAAGTCAGAGAAGTAATTAGAAAGGAATTAGAGAATTGGGAGCTGTGCTACCAACCCAAAGACAAGTGGTTTGAGGCTCCAAGGGAGATGGACAATCTCTTACCATGTGATTTACTGCCTTTGAAAACTAACTGAAGTGATTTTCATCAAATCTATAACTTAATTCCAACTCTATGGCAATGAGAAATAAATACTCTTTGATTAATTCAATGAATATATATACTGAGAGGAAAAAGTATGCACTGATAGTGTAATTTAATTAGAGTATCAGAGAAGGCCTATTTGAAAACATGTCTTTTAAATTCAAAACAAAACCAACAAAATCCAAACAAAGACAAGAGTAAGTGCAGAATCTTCAGGGCATGAAGAAGGTGTTTGGCATGCCAACAGTGGAAAGACTTGTCTTAGATATCAGCAAGGGTAAGGGCAAAAGAATACTAGATCAGGTTGATCAAATCTTGATGAATACACTAGAAGATGAATTTTAATTCAAATGCAAAGTAACAGATTTTAAGTAAGAAGGTGACAAGATCTAGTTGTTATTTAAAAGTGAGAGAGGAAATAGATGATGGTTAATTTTATATGTCAATTTAGCTAGGCTATGATGACCAGGTGTTTGGTCAAATACAAGACTTTCATGGTTACACATGTTTAATCATTTGACTTAGGGAGCACTGTGGCATAGTCCACAGAGAGCTTCGCTGATAACCCAAAAGCTAGATCTCTCTGGCCATTTAAATAGACCAACAACTCATGCCAAGGGAGAAAGATGAGCAATTCCCACCCATGTGATTTATATCTTCAGGAACCCAATGGAGTATCAATTGGTTCCAACTTGACAGCAATGAGAGTAGTTATATACCTTTCAAAATTTTTCTTTTATTAGAGAAAAATTTACAAACCATATTGAGTGTTTACTCACTCATACATACCGTATATCTTATTATTCTGTTTCTGTAGAGAACTCTCAGAGAAGTGGCTACAATAAACCACACAGGAAATGCTAGTGTTTGGACTATGATGGTGGTGAAATAGGAGAGAAGTGAATATCTGGATATATTTAGGAGGTAAATGGAAATAAAGGGGCAATACATTGAAAACTGGAAAGGAGACAGTGGAAAATCAATGATAGCCCTTGAATGTTCTCTGGGAGCATGTGGACTTCATCCCAGGCCCTCTTCAGTCAAAGAAAACTCACCAGACTTCCCAGTATCACCCTTTGCCTTGGGCTGGACAAGTGGATGCACCACTTTCATATCATCCGGTGGTACAAAGGATAAGTTGAGATTAATTTTAACCATATTCTTCCCAGTGTGTTTGCTGGCTATCCAAATTGCTTTCTTTTTCAATGTTGTATAGAAGATATGTTCACCAAAAATAGATATTGCCAACAAATTGTGCCTAAAAAAATAACAAGGGGAAACAAAATAGAAAATGGCAAGGCATTTGTTCTAATGCTCATTAATATTTCATGTCATTTCAATTTCTTGTTTGGATTTTAATTACCAATTTTTAATTGTTTTTAATTTAAAACGCATGTGAAAGATTTATTTATATAGTTATAATCTGAACTAGCAGAGTAGAATGGCTGGCTCCAAACCCATTGCCTCAATTCTTCTGCTAGTCATCAAATTAATGGGGAAAAAATACAAGAAAATAAGAAATCAATTTCTGATTTTTTCAAGTTCTCATTTTATTAATTCCTTCTCATGCAATGTTAAGGAGTTAGTTGCTGGCATAATTACAATTAAAAATCAAAGATAGGTGCTTTGATAACATAAAATTATAATTTGTATGTGTTTTGTTTTGTTGTTGTTATGTTATGTCAAGTTGGAACCAATATACAGCGGGCCTTCCAGTAGATCTTCAGAAACCATAAATTGCATGAGAAGAGATTGCCTATCTTTCTCCTGCATAAATTATATACAGTGTACATGGTTACTCCAAAGTTATAACTGCTATCAACATATGCAAAGATGTTTTTGCTAATTCTTTTTATTTGCTTTCTTTTACTTGATCATCACAATAACCCCAAGAAATAGGTAGTATTTATTTCCTACACAAATGAAAATTAAGGATGAGAGAATTGGTGGGATCTACCCAGTAACTCAACTAATAAATGATAAGTCTGGGACCTAAATAACTGTGCCCAAGTAAATGAATTTATTAAAAAATACTGATACATGGAAATGAAACTGACTTAACACATATGTTTCACGTGACAGTTGTTTTATTTCACACCAAAAGTAAAACTTACTGTGAAAGATTTTTGCTAAGGTGCACAGAGCCGCCATTGTAATCACATGAACCAATATGATCATCTCCTTCTTGGTTGTGCTGAATCCAAAAGAGCCGTTTACTGAGAATATCCAATGACATAGCTGTTATTTTGTTTTGTGTCTCTACCAGCATCTTGTGATTGGCACCGTTGAGATTGACTCGGTGAAGACTGCCACTCATCTCTGAAGACCAAAATATAAACCTAAGGACAAACACATCACACAGACGTAAAATTGTAGAGCCACTCACATTGTGCTTTCTCAGAGTCTCAGTGCTTCCTACTTGTCTTTCCAGGACCAGGTTGAGTCTTTTGAATGAAAATTTATCTCAACAAGTATTTATTCCCCTATTTTTATGCCTCATGTGGTGGTTTCCTAAACAAGAGAGTGCCTCCCTTCATAGAGTTTCCCAAATGACGGAGTAGGGACAATTATATATATAGAGTGATGTAGATATATATCCTAAATTAAAAATATATTGTTTCTATTACATAATATAGTGTCAT